GAGGGGAGTTATGGGGGGAAAAAAGAGGAACAAATGTAATAATCTGAACAATAAAGATTTAATTAAAAAAAAAGATAGTTCTGTATGAGGGGTGAACACAAAGTAGCACTCAACACTCTGATGAATGCTTTAATTCCATAGATGAGAATTAAGATGGGACTCAAAACAACTGAGAGATTTTCCCAAGGTTATAAAGTTAATTAGCAATGAATCCACATTCTGATCTCAAGTCTCAGAGTTTTGTTTTAACACCATCCTAAAGCTTCATGCTTCAGGATCCAGTTAGAGGCAGAGTTCAATGCGACAAGGGTTTATGCAATTTATATTAATTTCCATAGATGGTGGTCATGTCCCCTCAAATGCCAGAACAGGGGAGATTGTGTTATAACAAGACTGCAGCATATCAATGTACCAAATATTGTATTTGTTGCAAGAAAGATCAACAAAGACAAAGAAGAGTATGACAAAAATATACTGATGTCCTATTCTAATTTTGTTCCAAAATGTTATTACAAATATTTCCACACAAAAAGTTAGAAGACTTTTACAATGACTACTCATAAACCCATTCCCTAAATTCTACCATTAGCATTTGCTCTAATTGCTTTATCACACATCTGTCAATCCACCTTTCTCTATCTATCCTTCCAATCCATTTTATTTTTCATGCATTTCAAAGAAAGCCGCAGGCATCAGTACATTTCACACCTAAACATTTCAGCATGTATATATCACGGATGAGAGCTCAAAATTATTTACCATACTTTAGGTAAAATTTATAAACAATGAAATGCACAAATGTTAAATGAATCATTTGATGAGTTTTGACAAATGTAGACAACTATGTAACACAAATCCAATACCAAGGTATACCATGTTATCCTGCCCCAGAAAAGCAAATATAAATCCTCTCTGGAGGAAAATCAAATAATAATAAAACCAAAATTTTTTGTATGAATCATCTGGTTAATATGATATGTAGCATATTAAAAAAATTAGAAACATGAGAAAGTCAATATTAACAAAACCACAATAAAAATAGGTAACAGGCCATAACCGGTTTGGCTCAGTGGATAGAGCGTCAGCCTGCGGACTGAAGGATCCCAGGTTCAATTTCAGTCAGGGGCATGTACCTTGGTTATGGGCACATCCCCAGTGGGGGGTGTGCAGGAGGCAACTGATCAATGTTTCTCTCTCATTGATGTTTCTAACTCTCTATCCCTCTCCCTTCCTCTCTGTAAAAAAATCAATAAAATGTATATTTTTTAAAAGTTTAAAAAAATAGGTAACAGTTTAAAATACAGAGTATCTAGATAAAATATCAGAATAGGATGTAAATAGAATTTAAGGAATAGCTAAAATTAAAAACTCAGAATTAACATAGCTGAAGAGAAAACCAGATTAAAAAAAATATATCAGAAAACATCCAGAATGAGGCTTGAGAGACAAAAGGAAGGCTAACCCAGAAGAGAAGGTAAGAGAAAGAATACAATGAAAAGGCTACCCTAGCATGGCTAGAGATGCAGAGGAGAGATTACTAAAAAGGGGCTGAGATAATAACTGAAGGAAGAATGACTGAGAATTTTGCCAAAACTGATGAGATATAGGCCTTTGCAGGGCAAGTACAGCTGCAGAACCTCCAGCTCCTCAGAGAGCCCCCTGGTCCCTGGAACACCAGACGTGGGTTCTTCCTGGCTGTGCTCATTTGTGCGTGCGCATTGCAGGAACGGCTTTCTTTCCACCTACCGCTGGTTTTAAAGTTTGTTATGGGAACATAGTGTTATGGAATGATTCTGCTCAAATATAAAATTTTCCCTCTACACATAGCAATTCTACCAAAAATTTTTTTTTTAAATTAACAAATGAAATAAAACACTCCATATGGAAATTAAAAGTGAGATCAGAGGGCACTGGCTGGTGATCTCAGTGGTTGGTGCACTGTCCTGTACACTGAAAGGTGGCGGGGTTCAATTCCCTGTCAGGGCACATACCCAGGTTGGGGTTCAATCTCCAGTCAGGGCGCGTGCAGGAGGCAACTGATTGATGTTTCACTCTCTCCATTCCTCTCTCTCTAAAATCAATAAAAGCATGTCCTTGGGTGAGGGTTAAAAAAAACAAGTGGGATCAGAGGGATCATTATTCAGTCCTGTAATTTGGCCCAATGCATCAATAGTATTTCTTGGAGTAATACTAACCTGGCGAAATACTTCATTCACAAAATTGACATAACCTCGCGTTGACAGGAGGATGCGCTGCACCATTTCATACACGTTCCGGTGCTCTTCTTCAATGCTGCAGAGGCTAGAGTTGCTGAGCCTCCGGTCCGACAAGGTGCTGCTGTTTGAATGGTTCTTGTCTGGCTCTGCAGGCCCGCCACCCTCCAGCTCCGGTGCCCTCTCTTGCACTGCACCAGCACCAACAGTCTGGAAGAAAGCCATTACCACTTCTGAGTCATCCTCATTGGCACTCAAGAACAACTAGCAAAGCTGAAGACTTGCTTTATTTTAAAGCTCTGGTTACCCTCAACTTGACAACACACTGGAAACCAGCACAGCTGGAAGCACATGGGGCTACAGGACCTGTACTTACCAACTTTCCAATCCACCAACTAACCCCTCCCCCAACTCAGTCATTTTAATAGGAAAATTACTAAATTATTATAGGAAGGGAGGCTGTGAAATTTTATCAACCTAAAAAGTTTAATTTATATTTGTAAAATCACAGAATTAATTAACATGTGATTGCATTTATATTATCACCACCTTGGTCTCTACACTATAGCACTTATTGGATAGCTTCAGAGATTTGAAATTTCAGTAGATATTCTACAGCCACAGTGTTGAGAAGCATCACAGTGGTCTCATAAGCCTAAGTGACATCTTGCTAGAGGAGTGCCAAGATCTATAAATGGTATAAGAACCTTGATTTGAGTTCTTTATCTCACATCAAACCTAACTGGAATAATTAATGTACATATAGAACTAGTAAAAGAACAGTTGCTGTTGCAATTTTAAAATCACCACTCTGCTTTTTCTCATACATGTTGAAGTACTTCTATCTTATACAAAAATGAATCACTAAGGAATAAATAATTCTTCACTGAAAACATTTTCAGCTGAAACGATGAACAAAGACTGTTCAGATTTGAAAGGGAGGGGGTTTGCTGCTGTTGCCAACATGTTATGGATGTATGGGATTGATACTGTTGTAATAACCTGGTTATTATTAAACAGAAAAGGAGTAAAGGGAAGATTAGATAATATAGACATGCCACTTATACAGCTTTGCTAAGTCTAATCCCCACTGATTGATGAGGAAGGGGCTGAACAAACGCAGTTTGGACGAATGGCCAGTAAGGTCTGAGTGAGGTAGGAAGGTGCTTACCTGTCTGTCAATCATACCTGGAAAAAATTAGTGGCCAGGATGGGTGTGGCCACTGCAAAAACTGAATATTTAAACTGCTGAACCAAGGAAGTTCGCTCTCTCACACACGCGCCAGGCTCTTATTTGCTCTTGACCTCCTGGCCCTCTGGTCCTCTTGGGACTCCTGTTGCAGGGGATGCACTCCCTGTGCCCACGTGGCCCACAGCCATGTGGGACCCATACAATGAACTAATGGACTTTAATTAGCTCGGATGCTGAACTGGACCCGGCGGCAACATGGAACAGAAGCTCTGGACACTGACCTTGCTTTTTGCTCTACTGGAACCCCAGCTGCACCTCTTTAAGGGCTGGTTTAAGGGGCAGGGAACTTTGGAACCCAAGAAATGCAACTGCACACAAATAAAGCCTTTTATCACATCTAATTCTCCCATGCCAATCTTAGAAAATTCATTTTCTAAAGATATAGCAAGAACCTCACCCCCACGAGTGACGGAAGTTCTATTCTCTGGTGACAGGATGTATTTCTATTTTACCATGAATGACACCACTGAACAAAAAAATATGTTAAACCAGACTCTCCAAGTGGTATATAAGCTAAGTCTAGAAGATGTACTATCCTTTCTTCCCTGGTAAAAAAAAAAAATAGTCTCAATTGTATTACTTCTAAATCAAGAGGAAGTAAATTGCCCTAGCTGGTTTGGCTCAGTGGATAGAGCATAGGCCTGTGGACTGAAGGGTCCCGGGTTTGATTCCAGTCAAGGGCACATGCCCAGGTTGCAGGCTTGATCCCCAGTAGGGGGCGTACAGGAGGCAGCCAATCAGTGATTCTCTCTCATCATTGATGTTTCTATCCTCTCTCCCTTCCTCTCTGAAATCAATAAAAAAATAGGTTTAAAAAAAATAAAATGAGGAAGTAAATTCACTTTGGAAAAAAATACACACAAAAAACTTGTCATACATGATGTGTAACATAGTAATAGTGGCCTAAGTGTGAACTCTATTTGGAAGCAGGACTTAATATAATGTTTTAAAGGGCTTTTACAAGAGCAGCATATTCTTTGGACCACTTCACTTGATAGTGATGTTCACTTTACATGGGTAAAATTACACTAAATTTGAAATTCCAAACAAAAACTTTCAGGAGATAAATGCAATTGTATGTGCTCTTATTCCTGCAACTTCACTTCTAAAAGTTAATATGTAATTGTTTACACTGCTGCTTTTTCTAATGTTCAATATAAATGAAAAGCAAAACAAAGTAGACACATGTGAGATGAGGTGGGAACCAGAGTTGTAAGGCAGAGAAGGGAAAATAGGAGACAACTGGTCAGCTGCATAATGACCCCCAAATGATGTCCATACCTAACCCCTGAAGCCTCTGAATGTTAGCTTATGTGGCAAAGGGACTTACCAGATGTGGTGAAATAAAGGATGCTGAGATGGGGAGACTATCCTGGACTATTATTGGTCCCAGTGTAATCACAAGGACCCTTAAGGAGGCAGGAGAATGAGAGACAGAGAAGGCAATGTGAAGATGGGGACAGGGAAAAAAGGTGATGTGATGAGGGGTCATGAGTCACAAAATGCAGGCAGCATCTAGAAACTGGATAAGGCAAGAACATGAGCCTGTTCTAGAGCTTACGGAGGAATACAGAGCGGCCAGCACCTTGGTTTTACCCCCCTGGGATTGACAATGGACTTCTAACTTTCAGAACAACAAGATAATACATTTATGCTAATTCAAACCAATATATTTATGGTAACTTGCTACAGCTGCAATCAGCAACTAATATAACTGCTTGCTGTGAGGTGTATTAACAGTCTCTACAGTGACAGTGGCCACTTCTGTGTGCAGCCATCTGCAAGGTATGGTAGCACTGAGCACAGACGGTTGTCTGCCCAGCATCCATTCCCACTCCCTGACAGAACCCCAGTGTTTGGCATGTCTCTCCCATGAAGCCCAAACGATTCACAGGATGCTGACCCTATCCACAGTATCAAGGTAGTGTTGTTTCATCCTGAAAGCCAATCATGTCCCTCCCTCCTCGGTCGTTCACACACAGCTTTAAGCTGATCAGTGCCTTGTTATGGCTCTAGGAGTGGGCAGGAAACCTAAGTTGTACCACTTAGACCAGTGATGGCGAACCTTTTGAGCTCGGCATGTCAGCATTTTGAAAAACCCTAACTTAACTCTGGTGCCGTGTCACATATAGAAATTTTTTGATATTTGCAACCATAGTAAAACAAAGACTTATATTTTTGATATTTATTTTATATATTTAAATGTCATTTAACAAAGAAAAATCAACCAAAAACATGAGTTCGCGTGTCTCCTCTGACACGCGTGTCATAGGTTCGCCATCACTGATAGACAAAAGGAAAGGGCTTTGTACTTCTGGTTGTCTCTGAACATGAACAAGGAGCCCAGCAGTGCCCCATCATCGGGGAAGCTGAAGACTCACTTGCCAGAGGGAAAAGGGCAGAGTAGAAAAGAGACAACCACAGAGAACTGTAGAGAGAACATGCGTGAACCACACTGTCACCCTCATTATAAGCTTCTTTTTCATGAGATTAAAATATTTCTTTTTACGTTTAATTATGCTTGAGTTTTGGTGTCTTTTTGTCTGTTAGAACGATAAAACCCCTCTAAGGAGCTCAGAACCTTATGACACGAAAAACACTAGATAATAAAAGTAGATGACTCACAAGTGTGAAGAGTCAACTAAGGGAAAGAGTCAGAACCTTGAAGCAGTGGTTAATTTGCTATTCTTGCTACTTCTCATCACCCAGGTGAGAAACTTACTTTCAATAAATAGAGGTGATGGTTTTTCAAAAATTTGAAATCAAATAGGAAAAAGTTACATCTTTTAAATGGACTGTTTTGAATTGACTAAAAAACCACACAGATAAAATGTAAAATTATGAGAGTGTGACTGAGTTTCTTATGTGTAATTTCATACAAAATTTTTTCTACCCTAATTGGTACATAAAAGTCTCTTGTCATGGTTCAGAACAAACTATGTTTCCCTGACTGATGGTGAAATCTGGGCCCATTTTATTTCCTCTTCTGTGAACTTCATCTCCTTTGTCCATTTTTCAATTGGGCTGTTTGTCTTATCAATTTGTAGGCGCTCTTTATATTGTAGAGATACGAGCTCTATTAATAGCCATGATGTTACACTTTCCTCAGCATGAGTGTGGCTTTTTGCTATCTTTTGACACATAAATATTTTTCTATTTTTTCAAACAAAGTAGAATCTCATCTCCTCTATGGCTTGTGAGCTTTATCTCTCTCTAAGGTGGTCTACTACTTGCCAAATTTATACATTCTCTAGATTTTTCTCCCAAGTTCTTTATCATTGTTTTTATATGTAGGCCTTTAATCAGTCTGACATTTGCTTATGTATGTGATACAAAGCAAAGAAGGTTCTGGGAAAGACAGACAGCCAGCCAGGTTCTTTCCGCTTCAGGGCTGTAGGTTACATTAGATATTCAGTGCTAATGTCAGTCTCATTCCTTTGCAGGAACCTCTGGTTTCTGTCAGGAAGCTGTAGAGTTTTTTCTTAATCCATGAAAGTCAAATGCCAGTTTAACTGTTTAGCTAATTTTACCTGGGACTCAAAGGCCTTTTCAGTCTAAAGCATGACTTCTTTTCAGCTCAGGTAAACTTTCCTTTTTATTAGTTCCAATTATTACTTCTCATTCTTTTCTCCTCTGCCCTCACAATATTTGCATGGTAGATCTAGATCCGTCCTCAGATCTTATTTATTAATTTCCATCTCTTTGAATTTCTGCTCAGTGTGGTGGGATTTTTCTTCAAACATTAATTTTGTTCTCAGCAGTGATCATTACCTTCTTTGGTTTATGTAATAAAAATTTAAGGTTTTCTAGAACTTTCAGCAAGTCTTTTGTTGTTCTTATTGTAACTATCTCTCTCTCAGTCTTTTTTGAAAATAAATTTCTCCAGTTCCTGGGTCAGTTCCTGTCAATGGGGCCACATGCTCTGGACCTGTCTGGTGCTCCTTCACCTGCCCTTGACCTTAGATGTGTGCACTTTCCCAACTCAGGCCTGGGTCACACTGCTGGGAACTCTAAGGCAAACCTGCACTAAGTGGTCCACACTTCTTGTCCCTGTTCTTAGGAACAAAAAAAACTCAAAAAACCATAACTCTTCTGTGAAATGACTGCTCTCTGATTTCCACAAGTGGTCCTGCTCTACTCAGCACTAAGTCCCTAACCAACTCAGGGTGCTGGTCAAGGCCAGCAAGAACCAGAAGTCCCCATACAAGAAGTCTTCACCTAACGCCTTGGAGCGAGACAGCCTTCTCTTCCAGGGCTCAACAACCACCTCAAAATCCTGAGATGCTGATCCACCCTTCCTCTGAGTTCCCAAAGCACTTGGGAGTCTCACAGGTCTTCTCCATGGCCCACCAGCACAATTCCTGAGGGCCTTCCATGTGCTGGGGATTGGCAAAAGCAAGAGAGGCTCTGTTCTAATGCTCAGAGGTCACTGGTACCAGAGTGA